AGGGAAGGGAAGGGAAGGGAAGGGAAGGGAAGGGAAGGGAAGGGAAGAGAGCACATGACTGAAATGGGGTATAAAGAAACGAGAAGGTAGGGAGTTACTTGATAGGGATCCTGAACTCTGGAGAAGGCAAACTGACCACAGGTATGCATCCATTCGTGTCTTGCTCTCAGCTCTTGACTACCTGTGATATAACCAGCCCCTTCAATTTTTTCCTCGCTTGACTTCCTCTCAATGACGGGCAGTAATTTGGAACTGTGATCTCAACAAACCCTTCATCTTTATGTTGCTTTAGTAAGGACATTTTGTCCTAGCATCAGAAAAGAAACTGAGACAGACGGTCACCACAACGATGATGGTGTTCTTTTTGATCATGATAGTGATGGTGGCGATGTTTCTGATAATGACGATGACAATGGTAATGATGGTGATATGATGATCCATGTTTGTGATGAGGATAATAATTTTGATGGTGACGGTGACAGTAGCGATGAGTACAAGGCAGGGAATAACTATTTGCACAGTACAGTAGTAATGTTTGTGATGATAGTGGTAGTGGTGATGTTGGTTGTGGTTATGACCATCATGGTGATGAGGATGGACCCCAGCCTTTAGATAGCATTTAGAATACACGTCTTATGTGCTGTCTTTAGTTTGGTCTCTGAATCATCCCAGCAACTGTGGGAGATAAGCACTACTGGCATTCTTTATAGATGGGGGAATTGAGGGGTAACCACATGCTGTGACTCACTGAGGGTGTGGAGCCACTGACTGCCAGCCCCAGGCATCTGGATCCGTAGCCAGTGTCCCTAAGCACACATGTACCATGAACATCCTGGGCTCTGGGCCATCAACTATTGATGGCAGCCCTGAGCTAACCCAGGTTCAAGGCCACAGAAGTATTCTAGTGAAAGAGCAGGAAGGGCCTGGCCTCTCAGAAAGCTCTTGTCCTCTTGACAGGAGGACTAACCCAAGGGAGGAGCAGTTATTCACTACACGATGTTTTGGTGTCTCCATCCCTCTCAGAATTTAGGGCCCAAGCTCAACAAGCCATCAGGTCTCCCTCATTCTCAGATTCAAGTTCTTCTTCTGCAAACTACAAGCTATCTGTTTCCTTCTCCCACAAACAATGGGATAGACTCAAAGCTTCTTTCTGCCTCCTGCCCCAGCGTGACCTAAGATTGTTAAGTTTAGGCCAGGGCCTTTGAAGCCATGTACACCTGCAGCAGCCGCCACACTCAGTTGACTTTGTAATTCCCACTGCTAAATAACAGGTACCGGGACAGTCCACCTGTCTGTGAGTTTGATTCTTTCTTTCTTACTTAAAGGAAGATTGTTGAGACTCTAAACAAAGGAACTATGTGTCACATATCCCTCATGAGAGACACACATTAACTCAAGGGTGGAACTTTTGTCTTCCTCTGTCCCTGGGAACCAGAGACAAGCTGAATGCAGCATGGGCTACTCATCAACTAACTACATGGCGGGGGGGGGGGGCTCTCCCTGACCTCTGAAACCCCTAAGAGCCCCTCCTCCCTCCTATACTGGGTTTCTGTAGTGTTCAGAACACACCTAATAAATCTCTCACTCAGAAGGACAACCTGTATTTGCATCCCCAATTCTGAGAACCTTGCGTGACTTGCAGCAGGCACTTGAGTCAGAGGTCATGGCCTTTCACCTAAAACCCTTATCTCCAGCTCAGGCTGTGACCTCATGATTCAAGTGAAGCTCACATTCTTCCTGCTGCTCCCTCCCTGTGTGGCTGCTATGCCCTGGAGGTTAGGATGTGTGCTGGGCTTAGCCTGTATTGGTGGGCCCACAGGAAGGGGCTATTCCCTGCTCCGAGTCTGCTTCCTGCCATAATCATCCTCCGGGAGTGGGAGGAGCTGGGCCCACCAGCATCCCCAGGTAGTTCAGACTCTGAGGCAAGTGCTCCACATTTAACATTTTGGAGCTGAAAGTGGTCTTAAAGGCCTGGTCCTCAGAGCTTTGCTGTTTCAGCTGTGGACAGGAAGTCGAGACATATGGCTCTCTAGCTCTGCCTGGTGCTGTTTTAGGTACTTGGGTGTTATCCCCTGGCACCAAAGGGTTAAGAGGGCCGTCATTCCACTTCACAAGTTTAGGTTTGCTGTGTAAGGCCAAGCTGGGCAAACTATAGGAACCCTCTTGTTGGTCCTACAAGCATCCGTCCTCTTGATGGTGAAGCTGAGCCCTTATTTCTGTTTTCCAGATGGAGAAACTGAGGCTCAGAGAGGTTATGGAACTCCACTGATGTGGCACTTCTGGTAAGCACTCCATTCTCCTCAACTCTAGAGACTATGTTCTGATTGTCTGGGATGATATTGGGCTGATTGTATCCTCCACCAAAGGCTGGGCTGTGGCTTTCATGATATGACCTCATGCAAAACTGTTGGTTTACCAGAAAGAATCTGGGGACCTTTAACTGAGATGGGGGGAGGGCAGGGAGCTGGTATGTGGTTAGGATACTCCAGAGCTCCAGTATTCTGGTATGAGGAATGAGTCCTGGGTGACTGACAGGAATCCATGTCCAAAAATTGCCCTCTGGGGACCCAGGTCTCTAGGAAGCAGGACCCTGAGCTCACACAGGGACCAGGCACCTCCTCATGATTTCACTGCATCCTACCTCAGCCCACAGAGGTGCCCACAGGTACATGTCAACTCCGGTGACACAGTTTTGGGTGGTTGGTTGGACAGTTACACTGCTTGGTTGTTTTATTTGTTTGGTTTTTGCAAATTGGTTTTTGCAAAGCCAAAGGAAGACCCTCCCCGGAAACAATGATTTGCTCACCCAGGGCTAACCAGAGAAAACAAACCCTGGGCTTAAGGTCTCAAGGTTGTAGACTGCTTGCTCCAGGTGGATGCTACTGTGTGACCAGCTCCTTTTCCCCCGAGGTCTCAGCACCTGAGAAGTCTGAGATCTCTCTCAGCCCTTGTGGGGCACGGGCAAGAAGAACATGGTTCCCAGCCCTGAGTGAGCTCCATGTCCCAAGACTCTGTTCTTAACTAGGGCCCAAGACAAGGCAGACTAGTGAGCTCCAGTCCCACAGATCAGCAGGGGACAAGTCATCAGGGGAAACACAGAGAAAGAAGTCTGTTGAGCTACAGTGTCTGTCGTCTCATGGTTAAGGCAGCAGGGGGCCGGGACAGAATGCTACAGAGCCAAGGAGTGAGGCAAGATAGCGTTCAGGTGGTCAAGAGGACTGTTGGGCAGAGTCACAGTCAGTGAGCGGTTATGTCAGTAAAGTCCTGCCTCATGAATATGAAGACCTAAGTTTGATTCCTACACTCACATTTTCAAAAGCTGGGTACAGTGACATAGGCTTGCTCTCTCAGCACCAGGGACACTAAGACAAACAGACCCCGGGAGTTCACTGGCCAGCCAGCATAGCCTAATGGATGATCCCAGGTCCCTGTATCAAAACACAAGATGGATGGGTCCTGACAGAAATGACATCTGTCATTGACCTCTGGCATGGGTACCTGTGCTTGAACATTCATGTGTGCCTGCATAGACAAATGCACTGATGAATATGACTCTGGGGTAAGAAGACTGCTCTAAAAACAGCAGTGTGTGTAAGGCCCTGAGGCAGGGAATGTGCTTGGTCCCCCTTGCAGGCTTCCATCTTGACTCTGTGTGTTCGGTCTTCCCTCTTCCCACCAGCACAGCAACCATTTCTCTGTATCTTCCTCTGTCCGACATCTCCAAGTGTCTATAGGATTCAGAGGCAACATGAAAACTCAGACACTCCAATAAGAACAGGACAAGAGTGTCTCTACCAGGAAGCTGTTGGCTGGTCCTTAGTGCACTGCCCTCAGTGAAATTTGAAACGACTTCATTTTGCTGCTTTGCATTTGTTCTCAAAATGCATTTCAGAGACAGGACTGTGAGCCCTCTGTTCATCACTAAGCCAGGCAAATAATTCCAAGTGGAGCAGAAGGCTCTATTCATAAAGCAAGGCTGGGTCGATCTGGGAATGCTGGCCTCAGAGAGGGAGGCCCAGTAGTCAGAGGTTGGAGCTAGAGGGGTGCAGAGGCAGCTGACAGACATGGATTCTATCCAGGATTTCTTTCCAACACATGGTGGCATTGGCACCTGCCAATGCAACCCCTGTGCACTTCCTACAGCTGGTCATGCTATAAGGCATATGCTCAGACAGCCAAGGACCGCAAGTCCTAGCCTCAATATCAACACAGACTGGTGGACATCCCTAGGTTGGTTCCATCTTCTCTGTGAACCTCAGATGTTAAAGCTGGGAGGTGGTGCCATTGGAGTGTTTCTCCAATCCACAGATGTGACAAACTTGTCTCTGAAGTCTGCTGCAGTGAGCAGGGAATAAGCCTCCTAGCAGCAATCCAGGGTTTTGTTTCCAGGCCTCTGGCTCTTAGCAAAGAAATACCCTGCAAACTGCAAAACCTGGCATTCCTGCCCAAGGCTTGCCGGCTGGAGCTTTGAGCTAGCCTTGTATCCTCATACCCTCCATGGCCTAGGGATGCACAGGGGGTGCATTCATTTCTGGGAATAGTTGAGCAGTTCTTTCCTGGGAGCCCAGAAGGAATTAGTAAACCTTCTATGAACTGGATTTCAGACACCTGGAAAGAACCATCAGAAAGCCATTCTGCCTGGATCCAGGATGGGAGGGCCTGTTAAGTATTTCATAAGGAACAGGCCAAAACTCCAGCCTGGTGGGATGCAACCCAGCCCTGCCATACCCTGCCCCAGGGGCAGGCTGTGGCTTTGCCAGCCTGCTTCTCTGAACATCATTGGATTATCCTGATCCCATATACCTGAAATGAAACAGATCCTCATGAAGGTCAAGAACCCAGTCTTCAGCACAGGCTCAGACCCTGGTTACAGGAGGGTCAGATCCTCCTTGTAGACTCTGGGATAAGGAGACTGCTGTATAGACAGCAGTGTGTACAAAGGCCCTGAGGCAGGGGATGTACTGAGTACCCCATTGCCTTCTTCCAGCTTGACTAATGTGTGCGTTCACTTTTCTCCCTTCCCCACCATCACAGCCTCCACTCCTGTTTATTTTCCTCTGTCTGTCATGTGGAAGGGCCTGTCGTATCGAATGGGGGCAGGAAACAAGAAAAATATGTCATATGTCAGAATAGGGGCAGAGCAAAGATCCTGTCTCTAACAGGATGCTCTTTGTGAGGACCCTTCATCCTAACACCCTTTCCCCGTTGCCTGTACTACAGAGAGTTCTTGGTTAATTCATTCTCACAGTCTCCAAAATGTAAATGTTTAGAAATCTTGCACTCACTGTCTTGTGTGTTCTTCCTCCCCAATAGCTACCCAGAATCTGTTAGCTTACCTTGGTCCTGTTGATATGGCTAATTTTATTTTTCAGTCAGGTCAGTTTGTTTTGGGTGCCTTCTATCTAATAACACAAACATCCCAAAGACCCTGAGGGAGCCTGCAAACCTCAAAACTTCAAAAGAAGGCAGTGCTGAGACATAGGGTGCTCTTGCTGGGAAGAGTCGGGGATAGAGATCAACTCTGTTGCTGAGGTATACCTTGAGTAATTTTATTAATAAAAATATTGGGACATGTGGGTAGCATTGATTTTTATCTCATTTGTGAGTGAATGTGCTACCCAGTCCCTGCTTCTGGAGGCTTCAGACGATGTAGGGCTCTGGTCTTTCTTCACTAAGTTCTGGGAGGCAAATAAAGCCCTGGACCAATACCTGCCTATACAGTGGATTGCACTCTGAGACAGGAACCTCAAGTGTAGAGTGCCACCATTTGTAACAAAGGGGTGCAGAGCCCTCTAGCCTGGCCTTGTAGGAATGTCAGCACGGCCTCTGAGAACACAAGAGATGGGAAAGAAGTCCTCCAACCATGGCGGCACTAGAAAAGACAGTTACTATGTGAAGACTGAATGATTTTTTTTGAAAAATCACTAGGTATATCTCAGCCTCAGTTTCCTTATTTGTAAAATGCACATGCATGGTCCCTGTTGTCCAGGTGATTATGAAAGGCATTCCTGGTCTCTCTTCTAGGAGCAGAGTGGCAGCAATGAAAGACAGAGCTGGGGTGCAGGGGTCAGAAATGAGGACCTGGTGGAGACTTAGCTTCAGGCCCACCGTTTTGCACAACTCATGATGTTCAGTGATAACTGTGTGGTCTAGAACGTGAAGATGCACAGTCCACAAGGACAGTTTGCGATCTGTCCAAGGAGGTGTCATTTGCCCCAACCCACCATCTTGATTTGAATGGATCTGTCAGGGAAGAGCCCCTGGACAGGGCAGACAGCTCATGCAAGTTCCTGGGCCTGTTGGCTTGAGGAGTCCCTTCAAGCCAGCTTGGGTGGGATTTTTTTTTTAATGTTTTTTAGTCACTGCTTGTCTTCCTGATGATATAAATACATTTTCCCAGGGCAAAACCTTTTCCCCACGTGCCAGTCATCCCAACACATGTCACAGCAGAGACATGGTGGAGACACCACAAATACTTTAGTAACGATGGAACTAATGCCTTCATGGGAATTCAAGGTGTGTTTAAGTATAGATATATTTTATTTATTCTCTGAGAATTTAACATATGTGTATATTTTGATCATACCTACCCCACTCCCCTCTAACTCTTCCCACACCTCCCAACTTCATGTCATCTTTTGACATTTTCTTAATTTGTAGCTATTTCTGTTCAGTTAGTTTTGCCCTCCTGGGTGTAAGTGGTGTAAGACCACTGAAGCATGGTCGACCTACCAGAGGACACACCCCTGAAAAACATGGACTCTTCCTTCCCCAGGGCAACCAAGAATCAATAGATTCTCGGCTAGAAGTGTAGGCTTTATGTATGCAACCCACCCCACACATCCACACACACCCACACACGGTGCTATATTAACTGGCTTGATCCTCTGCAGGCAACCACAGCTGCTATGAATTCATGAGTACAGTGGTCCTGATGTGTCCAGAAAACATTGTTTCTCTGCTGGCCTTTGTGAACACTTGTCTCTTTACAGTGTTTTTTGTTGTTGTTTTTAGTTTTTGTTTTTTGCTTTTTTTTAATCCCCTCTTTTGCAACATACCCTAACCTTTAAAGGGAGGAGATGTGATATGTTAATACATTTTGGTATATTATAGATGTGTGCGTGTGTGTGTGTGCGTGTGTGTACCTGTTCCTGTGCATGTTTGTGTGAGTGTGTGTTTGTGTGTGTACTTGTGCAAGCACACATGAGTATGCATGTGTGTGTGTCTGTGTGTATGTGCCTGTGAGTGTACGGGCATGAGGGTGTACCTGTGCGTATGCGCG